CTATCATTTGCCAATTCATTTACTTGTATCAGAAGTTGCTTTATCAGACATAGTTGGAAGTAGTGATGGCCAAACCGGCCCGGCTCGGGACCTCCTAAGAACCGGCCCAGCCCAGGACCAATTATGGAACCACCGGTTACATCCGGTTATGGTTTTTGTCGGATTTGTGGGATTGGGACTGGGACTGGGACCGGTTATGGCCCGGCCCGGCCCAAAATATAAAAAAATGACATTTTTTATAGCCGTTAACTAATTTTTTTTGACCATTTTTATTTTGTATATTTTGGCCTCTAAACACTATAATATGTAACAAAGTTGAGAGATTTACATACCAAGTTCTCAATTCACAAAAAACGCAAAAAATGTTCACAATTCTCGTAATAAAACGTATTTTTAAAGTGTATTTGAGTGACCTGTACGACAAATTTAATAATGTATTTATATATATATATATATATATATCATTAAAAAATTAAAAAATATATTTTTTAAGCGTAGGACCGGATGGGACCGGCGGCTCATAACCGGTTATAAACTATCCTGACCGGGACCGGTTATGAAAAATCTTGGAACCGATTTTTGACCATCACTAGTTGGAATATGAGATTTTTCTTTACACATCAAATGCCACTAACTAGGTTTTCGTTATTTATACACATAGGTTATTACCTTACCGTTCCTATGGCGTGTCCTACATATCAGCTTTTATCAAAGAATATATATTTTGTAAAGCGGACAGTTGGTTGTTATTAGACGATATATTCTCTCATTTGCATGGCATCGTATAAATTTACAGGGAGAAGTGTATAGGCCTTGTAAAATTTCACTTTTTTGAAAGAAAACAAATAGATTACAAGAATAAAACAAACAACAAGATTTAAGAGCAGGTTTTCAAAGAGGGGTCAAACTCGTAATTTACTATTTATTGAAAAACTATGTATTTGACTTTTATGAAACGGAAGGCTGGCATGAAAAATGAAGATGTTGCGGCGTCAGAAGCCACGCCTGTGACTGTGACCGTTACCCCCCATAAGATGCTTCTCGAATATTCTTTTTTCGCTTTCATGTATTTTCAAATTCAACCCTCGGTTAACTCCTTTTTTTTTAAATAATTCTTTTAAAAATAACTACATATTTTATTAGTTTATAAAAGAAAAAAGTTTTAAAAAAAAATCCATCATATTTTAATTTTTGAAATAATTAAGTTTTTGAATTTTTTTTTGAAACAAATAAGTTTTTAGACATTTTAAAACATGTTAAATAACTTCTTAGACTTTCTAAAACGTGTTAGATACATATTTGTGACCTATAAAAATGGTTAATATGGTAAAATAATGAAAAATTTCTGAAAAAAGACAATGAACCTTCATATTTTCATATTTTGAACGATTAAATTTCTAAATGTTTTATGAACCAAAAAAATAAAATGAAAAATAAAATAAAAAAGTACTTAAATTTAAAAAATATTATTGATCAAATTTATTTTTAATAAAAAGTACAAAATATTTCGTCAGTGATTTTTCAAATTAAAAAAAATTAAAAAGTATTTAGAAAGGATATTGATTAAATTTATTTTAATTAAAAATAAAATATATTCCGTATATGAATTTTTAAAATTAAAAAAATAAAACAAGATTTAAAAAAGATAACTAATAAAACTTATTTTAATTAAAAATAAATTATATTCCATTGATGATTTTCCAAATTACAAAAATAGAAAATAATTTGATTATTTTACCGACGGATTAACGATTAAATTAACTAAATACATAATTAATTAAAATTCGTCGATTAAAATAAATTTCATCAATAATCTTTATTAAATGTAAGTACTTTTTTGGTCTATTTGTTTTATCTTATATATGTAAGTATTTTTTTTTTGTTCAAAAAATGTTTAACGACTTAATCATTCAAAATATGAAAGTTCATTGGTTTTTTTTACATACTTTTTTCATTATTTTATCACATTAACCAGTTTTATAGGTCATAAGAACGTATCCAACAGGTTTTAGAAAGTTCAAGAAGTTATTTAATAGGTTTTGGAATATTCAAGGACTTATTTGTTCCAAAAACTTAATCATTTCAAACACTAAAATCCATTAAATTTTTTCAGACTTTTCCCTTTATAAAATCTATACATCGACAATGCTAGGGTTGATAATATCATACAAAGTATATGAATTTGATTGATAGAGATGGTATTGAAAGTCTTATATCACTGTAATATCATGACATCGACTTATTTAATTACCTATTAATCAACAACAGAACATATTTTTTGATTTTTAAGTTTTGAATTTAAAAGTTGTAATCTTTATTTGAATTTACCATTTATGGTGTCCTTTAGACTTCTTAAACTCAAAGTGTCATTCAAAACTTAAACAAATTGAGAAGTTTTCGTATATGTAAATTGAAATTAGTATAAAATTAATACCAACATGTATCAACTGAAAAAATTTATATATATATATATACTAATTGTGTATCCGCACAATGCGGCAGGAGCCTTGAATTTTAACGATTTTGAAGTTTCACTGGTTTTATTAGAAAAGATTTAACGATGATATAAGTTACACTTGGTTTTTACATAATAATACAATTTGAATAAATAAGAGTCATGGTTCCAATTACAGTCTATCGATGAAAAAAATTGTATGACAGTTTAAAATCCGATATATTTAAAATCCAACATATTTAAACAACTCCACAAATGTGTTTGATTTACACCAAAAGCAAAGAATCAAGAGATCGAGATCGAGACCGAGACCGAGAGTCCTAGAGGTATAAGAGGGTGAAACATGAGTGAAAAGTGTCAAAAGTATCTTGGGAACATGAAAGGAAAATATAATAATGTGCATTGATAACTTATACTATATGTTATTATAATTGTAGATTAATAGATTTTAAGATTGAATGCATAAAGTAATAGTATTTAATGTATTATGAGTTGTTTTTTAAGACTTTGTGCATTAAAAATTGTTTTTAAGACATTTGATAAATCTGGTTTATAAGGTAGTATAGATAATCTTCGGATGATTAACCAAAATATTCATGTTACCGCACAACACACGGTTTCTACAGTAATTGGTATAAATATAATCGATTAATATGCGGTATAAGATTTATCTACCAATTATAACAGGTCGCAACAAGTATTTTGGGAAAAACTCGATGCCATGCCAAATCCATCATTTTGTATACAAAGTTAATCAAAAGTTTTTTTAATAAAATTAAATAGATGAAGAAAAAAAATAACTAACGTTAAAATATATAAAATAGTTTAATATAAGAGTAAACTACAGATTTGGTCCCTGTAATTTATTTTTTTAGCACTTTTGGTCTCTATAGTTTCAAAATTATAGATTTGTCATTGTAGTATGCAAAACCAACATGATTTGGTCTCTCCTTCTAATGGTCATTGAAATTTTTTTGTTAAGTGAGGAATACTTTTGTCATGTTTTCAATTTATTCTCATTTTTCATTAAATAATAAAAAAATGTTTTGATCCACCATTTAAGTCAGGCTATATGTCCCTACCTTCTCCAAGAACGTTTCCGGTCAAACCCAACCTTTTTCGGGCATTTTTTCTAACCAAACCCGGCCCTTTTGGCTATTTTCTTCGGCCAAAAACAACATCAAAATGATACCAAAACATCAAATTCAAACCCAAACCCTAAAATCAAAATAAACATCAACATCAAACCCAAATTCACATTCAAACCCCAACCCTAAAATGAAAATCAACAAAAAAAAAAGTTTGTGTATGTGTGCATGTACAACAAAAGTCTGTGTCTGAAACCAACTCGTATTCTATGCACTAGGATTCAAACCAAAATCCCTAAACCAAATCCAAATTCAAACCAATTTGAAACCAACCTTCAGTCTCATGTTTTATGCACCAAGAGGGTTCCAATTTACACAGAGATCCAAACGAGCTTGGATTTGTAGGAGAATCAAATGGGAGAGTTGGATGAAGGAGAGTTCAAAAGGAAGGCGCAATGCGGGGTTAGTTGGTAATGGAGAAGGGGGAAATGTTGTGTATTCGCCAACGAGGGTTGTAGATTTAATGGAAAGGGAGATCGAAGCAAAAGGTAGAAGAAGATGAGATGAGATTGGTGCGACAAGAGTTTCTATTACCTAGAGAAACGAACAGGGTGGGGTAGACTGGTTGCTTCGATGGACAAAGAAGGAAGAAGAGGGGGAAGGGTGTAACAGCCGCGATGCGGGTGTGTCACTCGTCCCACATCGGTTGGTGAGGAGAACGAAGCTCTCCTTATAAGGGAGTTGATACCTCACTTAGCAAGACCGGTTTTGGGTGGGATACGAACTYCGGTTCATGCCCACGCCAGAAGAAAACCGTGCGACTACCGTGACCGGTTAGGTGCGGGTTAGTCAAAGCGGACAATATCTTGCTACGGGGTTCTGGGGGCGTTACAAAGGGGTTCTAGGTCATGGTGGATGGAGGCAAGGAGCAACAGGTTTGAGGTAACGATGGTTTCCCGATTTAGAGGTTTAAGGTCGGGGAAGTGGTCGGTGGTGTTCCGATTTCGTGGCGACAAAAAGGTAGTTCACTATATATTATTTAAGTTACAATCACGGTCCCTCTAATTTACATGTTTATTTATTTTTTAAATAAAAATGTGAATAAAAAGTAGAAAAAAAAAAACCAAACTACCCTTCACTTAATAGGTTCTTTTAACGACCGTTAGAGGAAGGGACCAAATACGATCATTTTTGCATACCATAATAATGAATCTGTAATTTCAAGACCGTAGGGATGAAAAATGTTACAAACAACAAACCATAGTACCAGATTTGTGGTTTACTTTTCATATAATTTCTTGTAAAGCATAAAAGGAGAAAAAAGGTCAAAGACGGTGTTCCTGAAACCAATGGGCAACTTTGAACTATGGGCCATACTTGGGGGGGTTTTTTATAAAAATATTATAAATATTTCAGTATATAACAACGCATCTCCCCAATTGGTGCAACCACAGACCAGCCACCAACCTTTTTTCCCTTCATTTTCGCACACCCAACGGAGATCTAGAGAAGGCATCGAGAAAGATGGGAAGCACTGGATTTTCATGGAAATTGGCCGATCATCCCAAGCTTCCCAAGGGAAAGCTTGTTGCCATGGTGGTTTTGGATGGTTGGGGTGAAGCTTCTCCCGACAAGTATAACTGCATCCATGTCGCTGAAACTCCAACTATGGATTCTCTCAAAAACGTACTCACTTTCTCTCTGCTTCTCTATCTGTTTATGTATTGATTTTTGGATCCATCAATGGCGGATAATCTTTGTTTTAGTTGTAAATTAGATCTAAACAGCTATTGGACTTGATTCGTCGATGGATCTTATGTAAGAGACTAAAGTAGTTGGTTGTTATAGAATATGAGAAGTAAGTGAGTTTAAGCGAAGGGAATCAATGAATTTGAACAACGTTTTATATGTGCTTTTCTAATATATGCCTTAATAAGACGTGAATGTGCATTTAGGTATGTATTCAGATATTCAATCGAAGATTGATCCGTACATCTATTATGTAAAATGAGGTTATCTCCATTGGTTGTGATAGGTGGTTTTGTCAAAGCATAAGGACAAATATACCACGTTGTTTCTGTTGTTCTCCTGCAGCCTCATGAAATACTTAACCTTTTAGAAAAATATACCACGTTTTTTGGGTCTATTTGATGCTATCGATCTAAATGGTTGGTGGTCTGAAAGAAGCGTTTCCTTTAGCAAGAATACATTTTACAAAACAAGCAGCAAGCTAATGAAGAAAATGACTGTATTTTAAGTTAAACGAACTGGTGGCTGACGATCTTTAGATGTTATTTTGATTTACAAGTGACCAGATGAGTTGAGTAACCTTTGATGCATGGATTTTGATATAGGGCGCCCCTGAAAAATGGAGATTGGTGAGGGCTCATGGTACTGCGGTCGGACTTCCCACTGAAGATGACATGGGAAACAGTGAAGTTGGACATAATGCTCTTGGTGCTGGAAGAATCTTTGCTCAAGGGTGATCCTGCTTCCCTTGATTTGATTCTAATTATCCCTCCAATATTTTTTTCATAATCAGGACAGGGTTAGGAAAGATTACATGCTTTCCACTGGTATCTGGTCATTAGTAAATAATAATTAATATGTATTATCATCTGTATGAAAAAGGCGAAACATAGGTCGCCGTCGATGCTAGTAACAAAATGAAGTCAAAATACTTGCTACTCATTTCTAATCCTCTTCCTATTGAATTTGTTGAATATGCCCTTCCATTGTCTGTATCTGTTGAATACTCTCTCATGCTATTTAGCTGGCCTTTACTTATGAATCTTTGTTTCTTTCTTTTAGTGCAAAACTTGTTGACCTTGCGCTTGCCTCTGGTAAAATATTTGAAGATGAAGGTTTCAATTACATTAAGGAATGTTTTGCAAATAACACCTTGCACCTTATTGGATTGATGAGTGATGGGGGTGTGCACTCACGCCTTGATCAGTTACAGGTATATAGGATTGAGCATTGTAACTATTCACTGAGTATGTGTTTGATCTTCCTTGCTGATCGTTATATGCATTACTGGATTGCAGTTGTTGCTCAGAGGTGCTAGCGAACGTGGTGCCAAGAAGATACGTGTTCATGTGCTTACTGATGGCCGTGATGTTTTGGATGGTTCAAGTGTTGGTTTTGCTGAAACGCTTGAGGCAGAACTCTCAGATTTGCGCAGCAAAGGCATCGACGCCCAGGTTGCTTCTGGTGGTGGGCGCATGTATGTCACCATGGATCGTTATGAGGTATCCTCTTCAAAAATGCTGAATTCTATACTTTTTCAATGAATGATTCAGTGTTCTATACTTCTATTCCTAGACTGAAAAGGGTAAAATTGGTAGTATGTGCAATCTGTGTACTTTTTCTTGCATTTATATTTGCATTACACCAAATAATGTTGTTATTTTTGTTTGTTGCACACCTAAACATGTATGCTAGAATTTTTTTTTACTTGTTTGTCTTAAAGAATTTCCTTAATCCTAGGACCACTAGTTTAATAGTTGTGCCTTTGTACCTTTTTGTCATCATGTTTCATTTAATCTTCTGGCATGAAGTAAATCTATGATCACTTATCTTCTACTAATGTCGAGTCTTGCTAATTTAATCTTCTTGTTACTGCCTGTTTAGCAACATTACTACATCCTTGTTAGTTTACAAAAGCTTGAAAGAGGAAAACAGGGATTGAGAAACAGAAGAGGCACTGAAGAAGTGTTCCGGGGGTTTGTTTTATATATTTAAGTTGATACATTAATGATAATTGGTCTTCAGTGATAAATTATCCAAAGTACTTAAAACATTATGGATGCTCTTGAGTCTTGACTGCAATACCTCTAGGAATACCACACCACCTTATTTCCTAATGATTACTATCGAGGCATTTGATCATTTTTGTTGACATAAAATGTTGGGTCCATGTTTATCCAATTCTGTTATTGTAAATCTCATACTGCTTATGCATGTAATCTCTGCAATCAGCCCTGGGCTGAGTGTTTGTATGGTAACCCATATTAACAGAGTTTCCAATACTGTACATATTGTAAACCCTGCTCATATCTGTTCATCCTCTGTTATTAAAAGTCTTGATGTTTTATGGAAGTTCCAATGTATCTCAATGGAAATTATAGACTCTCAATGTTTCTCTTGCAGAATGATTGGGAAGTTGTGAAACGTGGTTGGGATGCCCAGGTTCTTGGCGAAGCCCCACACAAATTTAAGAATGTTGTTGAGGCTGTCAATAAACTGAGGGAGGTTCCTGGTGCTAATGATCAATACTTGCCCCCATTTGTCATTGCTGATGAGAGTGGAAAGCCTGTTGGTCCCATTGTGGATGGTGATGCTGTCGTCACTTTCAACTTCCGAGCAGATCGTATGACAATGCTTGCCCAAGCTCTTGAGTATGAGAAGTTTGATAAATTTGACAGAGTGCGGGTCCCTAAAATCCGCTATGCTGGTATGCTTCAGTATGATGGGGAGTTGAAGCTTCCAAACCATTACCTTGTATCTCCTCCATTGATAGAGAGGACATCTGGCGAATATTTAGTGCATAATGGGGTTCGCACTTTTGCTTGCAGGTGAGAATTTCTCTTTAAAGTGAAACCTTTCTGTGAGTGATAAGAATACTGATAAATCTTTTGGTCATGTATCATCATAGGTTATGGTTGTGAGTGATAGAGTAATCAAGCTATCATTCATTAGTTTATTTGTTCTCTCTCTTGTTTTAAAGAAATCTTGACTTACCTTCATTTTCCTTGTTCAACAGTGAGACTGTCAAATTTGGTCATGTCACATTTTTCTGGAACGGAAACCGCTCTGGATATTTCAATTTGGAGTTGGAAGAATATGTTGAAATTCCGAGTGATAGTGGAATTACCTTCAACGAACAACCAAAGATGAAAGCTTTGGAGATTGGTGAGAAAACCCGTGATGCTATCCTCAGCGGAAAATTTGACCAGGTAAGCCGCGGTGCCTCCATATCTGGTATAAAGGTGTTTGATTCGAATGTCTATTTAATGGCAAGCGGGTCCCATGTGCTTTTAGGTGCGTGTGAACATACCAAATGGTGACATGGTTGGGCATACTGGTGATGTTGAAGCAACTGTTGTGGCCTGCAAGGCTGCTGATGAAGCTGTCAAGGTAAAACTATGTGGCTCTTGAAGTTCGTTGTATTTTAGGCTAAGATTTGCTTGATAACAACTACATTATGAATTTATTTTTTTCAAATGGCTTTTTTTTATATATAAATACCTTCTTTTCTCAAATTTTTACTTTTTAATATAACTGTTATTATACTTGATATTATGTTAACATTAAATTCCGTTTTCCGTCACCAAAATTCCTGGATCCTCCAATCTTACAGGGAGGTTGGGGTAACTAGCAATGAGTATTTAGATGTTTGATTGTAGAGTTTGGAGGAACTGGTTTTTTGTGCTGAGTGTTGGGTTTGGTGACAGATGATCCTTGATGCAGTAGAGCAAGTTGGTGGAATATATGTGGTGACTGCAGATCATGGTAATGCTGAGGACATGGTAAAGAGAAACAAGAAGGGGGAACCTATTCTTAAGGATGGCAAGGTTCAGATCCTAACCTCCCACACTCTTCAGCCGGTAAGCTATATATACATCACTCTTTTCTTGTTAAGATTCATTATAGTAAGAAGAGTAAATTACGTTTTTAGTCCCTGATACTTAGAAGTAGTATTTAGCCTCCGGGATCAAAATAGAAACGAATCATAAACCATAGAGACAAAAAATCACAATTTCTAAACCACAAGAACGAAGCGGTATGAGAGTCTTTGGCCTCCTAGGAGGACAGAAGTTCAAATCTCACCAAAGGTGAAGAGGGTGTGTGAGTTTATTTGTTCTATTTGGCGTATATAAATATTATATACTTCAAAAAAGAAAGAACGAAAATAGAAATTATCAACGGACCACAGGAACGAAAACCATAATTTACTCTAGTAAGAACCATACAACTTTTGTTTATTCTTTTTCTAAATCAATTAAGATGATTGCTAGTGGACGTAGCATTCGAATCTTGAACTTTAGTAATGGCTTATGTAGAAAGCCAGAGTAATAATACCCTTCATGGAACCACATACGGAATTTGCCTAATAATATACCTGTATTCTAAGATATTGCTAGATTATGGTTTTTGATCGATAACGGAGCGATAGATTATGCTTTTTTTAACCATGTGTGAACGGATCTCAGGTACCGATTGCAATAGGAGGTCCGGGGTTGATAGCAGGTGCGGGATTCCGTAAGGATGTTCCGAGTGGAGGACTAGCAAACGTAGCAGCAACAGTGATGAATCTGCATGGGTTTGTGGCTCCTGATGACTACGAAACAACTCTAATTGAAGTTGTTGATTAAGGAGTTAGTTTTGGGTCTTGGGAGATGAAAGAAACAAACTTTTGATTTTGAATAATTTGAAGGAAAACAGTAAACATACAACAAACGTTATGTTTAGTAGTTACTTTTTTCCAATTTTGGTCACCATCATATGATACTGTATCAGTATCAGTATCAGTAGGTGGTTTTACCTTTTAGTCAGTATTGTTTGCTTTGCTGCTTTATATTTATTTAAGCAAAGGCATGATTTGCAGTCACTTGATCACACCATGATTCCACCTAAGAAATTGAACAACAAAATTTTAAGATCGAATTTGGTGGTGGAAGGGTTTTTGCAAGAAATGAGAATAAAACAGGAAACTATCTTTTTTTCTTTTTTGAGTAAATTGATTTTTATTTTTTATTTTTGTCTATATAGTTTAGAAATGGCAGTTTTCATCCTGTACTTATTGCTATTTCATCCTTGACTAATTCCTACCTTTAAGTATAAATGGCCAAAATAGCAAAAAATTGTAAACTATAGGGATTGAAACAATAATATATTGTAAATCACAATGATGAAAAATAGCAATAAATTACAAACCATAAGGTGAAAATTATAATTTTTAAACCATAGGGACAAAAATTGCAATCTTTAACAAATCATAGGAACGAAAAATGTAATTTACTCTTTTTTTTTAATCGAACTAGGGGACTGCCTCTGTTATGAAAATGGGTACAAGGAACCGGATTTTGTACCCGGATTAGGTTACTTGACAACCAGCTTAAGCCATAACTGGTTACGTCCATAATCGATTGGACCATGCAACCGTTCGACTCAACTAATTAAGCCATTCAAAACCCAGTCCTCAACAAACCGTCTATAACTCGCTTGGATATACACACTTGCACAAAGTACAAAGATTACGTGTTATTTGTATTTATGATCAAATAAATAAAAGCTTATTTTGCTTGCAATATATATTATTGTTTGATTTTAATTATAATGTATTTATCACTTGTATTAAATAGATAAATTGAACTTGTATTGCTTATATATTTAATACATGAAACCGTAAGCTCCCAAGCAGCGGGAGGAGCCTGGGCTCTGACAGGGGTAGAGTGAAAATATTATGGTTGAATACAAGATTGACTTGTAGACATTTTTTAGAGACATGATAAAATATAAGAAATTCAATTAATACATATGGAGTGTTTGGGGTTGCTTATTTGAAACAATTTATATTTTTTTACAAAATTACTTATCAACTTATTATAAGTTAAAAGAGTTTAACTTCTTTAAAAACTTCTTATTACCGATTTTACACCGGTATAAGTTGTTTATCCAAACACTCAAAAGTGTTTATAACCGATACCACACCAAAATAAGTCAATAAGTTGTTTTTATAAGCAATTCTAAACACCCCATAGATTAATAGAATATTTAGAAACAACGTTAAAAAGTAAAAAAGTCGATAAAAGTATAAATTTGGAAAATCAAAATTAAATGTCTTGAGCTATTACTATTATTGATATGTGATGATGTTCGATTTGAGCCATTTTGTTCTTGTATAATTAAACCACAAACCAAACTGCATAATGCAAAGTATAAATATATAAACAGCAAATCATATCGCAAATGCCCTAAACTGCACGGTGCAAGCAAGTTGTGCGGTATTTCGAACACCCACATGCAGCAACGACGGACCCAAGAATTTTTGGATACGGTTGTTCTAGAATAAAACGGTTGCACCTTTCACGAATCTAATATTTTTTCCCTTACCACGGAGGAACAATATGGTGGCACGTGCCACCTAACCACCCCTCTAGGTCCGTCTATGGGACGTCGTTAGTGATGTCGGTGACGGGGGTTTTAGCTTAGGATTTTTTTAATACTTCAAATACATTATACATTTGCTAACTTGTATACAAAAAATATAATAGAAAATCCAAAATTAGCACATTGCCCTTGTACGTGGGGTACGTAATAGGAACGACCATAACGGCCAGAGATGATTACAAATATTACTGATAGTCCTCGTAATTTCCAAAAGTTAAGGACGAGATCCAAAGTTTCCACAAACACAGGAACGGTTTTTTTGTAATTTACCCTAGATTTTAATGAAAAAAATAAAACCATTTAATTTCAATATCTAACTATACCGTACATACATTTTGTTAAAACGATTATGTAGAAAAGGGGATGACGCCACCTCCTGAAGTTCTCACGATAATCATGGAGAGATAAATTACATGTCTCATACCAACCAAACCAATCAATAAGGCTGAAGCCTAGACCTCAAACCTGATCTTATTCTGCAAAGATGCCTACCTTCGGCTGAAGCCGCAATACATTTATAAAAGAGATGTTACATTGATCATGTGGTAACATATAATCATGCCCCCTAATGACTTATATCTATCGAGTTAAAATTAAATTAGGACAATATGAAGATTTTTTTTGCTAGATCGATGTACCAAAGTTTCAAAATTTTCTATTTTGTACCCATTTTAACCAATAATCAACTGATTTTGTAACATCTGATGATGTGAATACCTGCTTACGAAATGTCTATGGCAAAGGGATGATAAACTTGGTGTCTACATCATCAAATATTACAAGATCAAAAGGTTAACAATCAAAACAGGTACAAAATAAGAGATTCCAAAACTTTGTTACATTGAAATCAAGTAGAGATTGATGCAAGTCAACCACCAAATCTGCATACTCAATAGATATCAACTAAAGAACATTAACACCATATTCATCTTTAGCATCAATAGCATTAGAATACACACATGATAAGCTATTTAATTAATTTCAGTTAGACCAAACATGAACCAAACCATGACTGTTACCTGTATATATCTCGTTGCTTTCTTCATCATAATAAAGGGCCGTTATGTCTTCAAGAGCCTCTGCAACCGTATTACCTCCAATCTTCCTTTGGTGGTTATCATCTTCATTGGGAGTTGCATTGCTCGAGTTTATTTTACCTATGCGTTTCCCAGTCCATATGTTGCTGATGTTAATAGAACCAGCTGCATCAAGAACCATATGTGTATAAGAATTCTTATATGCCATACCAAACTCAAACTCAGATCTCTACCACTTCAAGGGAAGCAAATGGCAGTCTATTATTTCCTTAAAGTAGAAGAATTTGGACCAAATATGCTAAAATTTCTAGTATTATGTCATTTCTATATGCGGGGACAACACATTAACCCTGATAAACCAAACCAAACCAAACCAAACCAAACCAAACCAACCCAATATATTCCACTTACGAGTAAGGTGGGGGATGTACGTCCTCCACCTAAAAGGATTGAGCGATTATTTCCATGAAGCCCGGCTTGTGTGAAACTTGAGCAAAAAGGTAAGAAGAACAAAGACTGGTAGATATAAGGCACTAGAAATAGAAAAAGTAGTAGGAAGAAGATAAAAGGAAATATATAAAAGATACAGAAAAACATACAACCCTCTATCTATACTTTGGGTTGCTAACATATTTGTCAACTCTCTAAATCACCCCCGGTCCCCACCCTCGACCTCTTAAAGTCCCTTCTTCCTGTCTGCCATCCTCACACACTACAAGTCCTACACCTAGTCCTATGTCTCCAAGATCTCCTATCAGAGGTCATGTCCTCTGAAAATCATAAGTTTGTTCAATGCAGAGTTCAATTGACAATAGCACCAAATAAATGATGTTAGGGAAGAAGGCATCAAAATAAGTACAAATAGCAGAGACCAAGGTGATAGCCGAGTGATAGTGGCAATAGGGTTTTCTCTTTTATTCTCATCAATTGATTAAAGAACATCTTAACAAAAGGAATTTAGTTTTGGGTCAAAAGCTAATTAGTGAATGCCTTGGCTAAACGATCAGTCATAATTCAAGTGCGACAGGAACAGATGTTTACATACTTGGACACACTTACCACATTTAAATACGACCTCGTTAGTAGGAAGAAAATTTGGCTGTATAAATTTTTTTACAATATTTTGAGATGTAACATTTGGATAAATAACAATTACGTTCACTAGACAAACATGATACATGCACACAAGAACACATCTACATGATTGGAAAATCTTTAGTAGTAAAATATACATAACAGAAACCGCTCCTATGCACCAATCTTGGAGTGTTGTCAATATTTTATGTAAATTAATTGTCCAATTGCATGTATTATTACTCTATGGAGCATGTTGCTTTTGAACTTGTAATTATAGAGCTTCAGAGTTAAACCTGGTTTACAACAAGATTTTTAATCATGTGATATACAAGTGATTTCCATCTTCACCATGCTGATGTTGGCATTGTGAAGTATTGTTAAATAGTAAATAGAAAAAGGTACCTTTTCCATCAGTCCATTGATCATCTGAATCATCCTTGCAGAAAGAAATTATAAGGTCTTGTTCACTAGTTATATATATGTTATTGGTATTGCAGTCGGAATGCCATAGTACATGATCCTCAAACGATGTCACAAGCTCTCCTCGGAAGTTCCAAACAGAAACAGTTCGATTTCTAAATGTTAGAAACAGCTGATTCTCATACAGAAAAATAAATGCGGATGGGGTCATGAATTCTGTTCTACCAACTTCTTTTACCTCAGCATTGCGTACCTACAAGAAAGGAGGAAGGCGTAAACGGAGGTGGACAAATGTAAGGCTTTAAGATAATCGATAATGGTAAAGGGATGAAGTTAAGCATACATCAAGAATCTGGAGATTCTCATTTTCTTGCTTAACAAGAAGCTTTTCATTGAATTGCTCTATAAAATCCACCTTCTTATTCCGATGAAGTAAATGATTGAAATCTTTTAGAACTGTGCCGTCTTCTATTGATAGTATCTTAAGAGGAACATGGCTCAGAGCCCTACTGAAAATCAATAACATGATGCCAGGGCTGTTTCAAACAAATCATTAGCATGAAGAGATGATATCAAAAGAATTCGATAGAAAAACCAAATGTAAACCAGAACATTAATTTTTCTGCCAAAGCAAACTCTAGAAAACATTATGCTCTCTCATTTCAAGATAAATGATCAACTACGCTCTTTATAACATCCACTGTTTGTGAAATAGACATTACAAGATCACGAATTAAGCCCCTATCATGAATAGGTCGTGGTTTGAATAATTTAAAAGCGGTTTTGGTTTCAAATTATGGAGGGGTTTTGGTTTCAAATTATGGAAGGGTTTTGGTTTCAAATTATGCAGCTCTAGGATCTGTCAGAAAGTTGGCTGGGCAGCTGGTGGTAAGGAGGTGACAGTTGTTTCTTGAAGGAAAAGGGTGGGAGTTGTCAGAGTCGCAATTAGTGGTTTGGGTCATGACAGCAGCCACCAACTTCATCTGGTATCACAACTGTAGGAACCCAGATCCTCTATTGCACTAATAATCACAACTTGAGTCAATATATGAGCGGAAGCAATAACTATAAAATTAGTTGGTTAAGCAACAATGAACAAAACACAAAAATGATTGAACAAGTCGGTTGTATTGAATAGCTAATGTCAAGAACATGCACAAGTGTGTGTACACAAATCTCTCAACTAGCTAAATTTCTCACAAGTACTAAAGCTCTCTCTCTCAAATTGCAAGTAGTGCGTCTTCAATATTGTAACCTATTTCCTTGGAGGAAATATCCTTTTATAGGCAATCCCAGAAAAGGAATCTTCTATAATTTAGGAAATAGGAGAAGTCAACACATCCACCAATCATCTGCCTCTATGTTGCTTGATTGAAGTAACCGTTTTTGTAAACGTGTCGGCCTGGGGATTGGAACACTTGTAAGATGTGTTGTGGAACCTTTGCACACAAGGAAGAGTTAAGAGACCCAGAGGCTCTGTGTCGTAAGTCGGCCTTTGTATCAAATCCTTAGCTTTTTGACATATTTGTCTTCTTTCCTCTTAGCGACGAGCTCTTTATCCGGGTAACATCTCTGTATCCGAACTCTTGGTTCCAGGCAGCTTTCTAGACTAAGCCCTCTTGCCTAGAGCAAGAGGCTTTTTACTTACGCTTTTGAAATAGACATTCTAACAATCTCCCCGTAAGTGTAATAAAATACTTGCTTGAATTAAATTGTAGTCTACAAAGCAAGAGGCCAACATGGTCCTCTGTAGGATCCTTTTTATTTGGAATTGAAACAGACGAGTACATTACATAAACAATTACAAGGAAAGAGATTTAGAAGTGTTGAGTTTCATGAACCTCCTAAGAAGCTCACGAAACTCAAGTATACTGTCTATCGAGTGTATAAGTGCAGAGGCTCTCTCTCTTGCCGCAGAGTCTTGGTCTTCCTTTCGACATAGGTGATTCTTGGTCCAACATAGGGTAGCTATTGAATACTTGAAGCGTTGGTCTGCTCTGAAGAATACCTTCTGTTTAAGTTTATTTCAATAGACCACCCAAAGCTCTGGCTCTAAGATCACAGTCCAAGAAGGGGTGAACTTTATGCCTTCAAGATATTCGTTGGGCGCGGAGACAGAGCTTAGGTTGGTCTTTGGAGATGAACTTAAACAAAAGGTATTCTTCAGAGCAGACCAATGCTTCAAGTATTTAAATGTTACTCTGCGCTAGATCAAGAATCACTTATGTCGAAAGGAAGACCAAGACCCCGTGGCAAGCGAGAGAGCCTCTGCACTTATACACTCGATAAACAGTGTACTTGAGTTTTGTGAGTTTCTTAGGAGGTTCATGAAACTTCAACACTTCTAAATCTCTTTCCTTGTAATTGTTTATGTAATGTACTCGTCTGTTCCAATTCCAAATAAAAAGTATTCTACAGAGGACCATGTTGGCCTCTTGCTTTCTAGACTAGAATTTAATTCAAGCAAGTCTTTTTTATTACACTTACGGGGAGATTGTTAGAATGTCTATTTCAAAAGTGTAAGTAAAAAGCCTCTTGCTCTAGGCAAGAGGACTTAGTCTAGAAAGCTGCCTAGAACCAAGAGCTCGGATACAGAGATGTTACCTGTATACATAGCTCGTCGCTAAGAGGAAAGAAGATCAAAGACTGCACGTCAAATAGCCAAGGATTTGATACAGATCCCGACTCAAGACACAGAACCTCCGCAATATACATGCAGAGCCTGGGTCTTAACTCTTCGTTGTGCGTAAAGGTTCCACGGCGCATCTTACAAGTGTTCCATCCCAGGCCGACACATTTACAAAAACGGTTACTTCAATCAAGCAATGTGGAGGCATATGATTGGTGGACGCGTTGACTTCTCCTATTTCCTAAATTATAGAAGATTCCTTTTCTAGGATTGCCTATAAAAGGATATTTCCTCCAAAAAATAGGTTACCAATTATTACAATATTGAAGACGCGCTCCTTGCAATTTGAGAGTTAGCTTTATCACTTGTGAGAAATTTAGCTAGTTGAGAGATTTTTGTACACACACTTGTGCATGTTCTTGGTGTTCTTGACATTCTCATTAGCTATTCAATAAAGCCGACTTGTTCAATACTTCAATCATTTCTGTGTTTTGTTCATTTATGCTTGACTAACTAATTTCATAGTTATTGCTTCCGCTCATTATTGACTCAAGCTGTGATTATTAGTGCAATACAGGATCTGGTTCCTACAACAACCCCAAGTCGCAATTAGAGTTTGAACAGATGAAGTTTCGGGTTGAAAATTGGGCTTAGGCAAGTTGTACTATGAGCTTTGTGGTGCTGATACCTTGAACCTACTAAAGAATGAAACTAATCTCTAATTATCATATCATTTGGGACAATCCCACATTTATAATGGTTTGCAAGATAACCTCATAGGCTATGAACCGAGGATAAAGGCTAACCAAAAGAGATCATAAGCTAACAGATAAACTACATAATCTACAGCCTCTAACAATACACATAATCAGATACTGGTTGTGAGGGAAGGAACAAAATTTTACTTCATTAATTCCACTTCAACACCGAAAAATATACATGATTATGAATGGTCCTTTTGTCACACTCTGAAGCCTTAGAGAAATGTCTCATATCTTTGCAGAAATGGCCTTGATCATATTTAGTGTTCAAGCTTTTTTTTCCTGGAGAAGCTCATACTTAGTGAGTTCTTTTGACTTAGTAACCAACCGTACATATACATATGTTTAACAAGGATACGCACATATGGAAAGATGGACACCACTTAATGTAAGCAATTTCATGTCTAGCAAGAGTGATTGCATAAACACGACTGAAAGGGTCTTGAAGAAATAAGTCCAGCATTTTATATTTGTTTTTGGGTCACATAGCTGATTTCTGACAGGACTTAGGAGATTTTGATGTTAACTTATTCATGGAAGGATCTTTTTCTTATTATTTAGCACCCAAAGATTTGTCAGAAGCAGCAAAACTGATTCTGGAAATTATTTTGTTAACATTATGTTCTAAGTATACTTGATATCTTCACCTCCACAAAGTTATAGTAGCATGCATCAAAGATTGTAAAACAGGGAGTTGGAGAGAAAAAATAAATTACCTGATCTTGATTTCTTCTACATTTTTGTCTGCTATAGAGTATAAGAGTGTATAATTCTTCAGGTCAAAGACCTTGTATATGCTAAAAAGAAAGAAAATAAAAATCAGCAAAATCCTTAATGCAGCAAATGAACATGCACTATTTTTTAAGGAAAGAAAAGGTACCTATCTTGTGCAGAGTAGGTAAGTACCTTCCCATTGACATCATCAAACTCCACAAAGCCAGGCCACTTCAGGGACTCGGACTCAAAAAGAGGAAAACCAGCATCTGGTTTGCCTCTTTGAATGTATCTAACATTACAAATGAAATCAAATATCACTAGAGCGTCACAAGTATTTCTGCTAAGGATGTATACAGAACCAAAGATAAAAAGCAAGGAGTAGATCAACCCACTCTATTTGTGTTGATCTGCATTTCAGTGAACTGAAGTTGTCTGAAGCATATACGGATACTGTAATTAGTGACTCGTTATTTTTATTGTAAAACAAGCTACGGATGACTTCATCTGGAAAGATATTCATAAAACATATCCTCTTGTTTGTATCTGCATTTAGAGTGCCAGCCAAAAGAACGTCAGATAAGAATGGTCTTGCTTCAAATATTACCAGAAATTGCCAACAATAGAACATCAGCACCATCACCTCTACTAAAAGCTGCACAAACACCAGAACTTGCAAGGGCAAATACGATACCACGTGCTGCCACTATTTCAATGACCTTTGCCCTTTTCATCAAGAATGGTAATACAAATGATGAATGTCCCTTGGGATCATGAGTATCATATTGCTCCTGATCCAATTAAGAGTACAATTATTTAGAAGATGTCATTGTAACTCTCATTTGAAGCAGCAAACTAAGATGAACATACAAGGATTCTCATCTACAAGATCATCCTTTCTGCTTGTCAAGAAATATCATATTGAGGAACAGAAACACACGCTATGAACTTTCTGGTTTTTGTTGATAATGGAGACTTAAAAGTAATCAGATAAGGTCGTCACAATAACCCGGACAGCGGTTCAGTGAAACACTGACATAGTGCTCTTCGTAAGCAAGCAGGTAAAATCAATCACTTGGCATAGCCTGATGTATAATATGGTTATTTTTCTTCATATCGCTCTTGACTTCCATAATTTCTCCAAGTATGTATGATGTAGTACAAAAATTTATCCTAATTCAATGCAAAAAAGGGAAGAACCTACACATAACTACAAATGAACTTGGTACTAGCTTAACAACTTGAAGTAGTTCGGTAAGGGATTGGAAATCTCCAGAGGAGAGAGCCTATACATATTGTATAAGTTCTGAGACTGAGGAGTTACACTGAACTTTCTGAGATATCGAATCATAGCTAGATCCCTTATGAGATTATGTGCACACGTAATCACAGTAAGCCCTTTTGTGATATTATGGGGATCAGAATTATATCATTGTAATTGCCAAGATACTTGATGATGCTAATTACCGAAAAGAAAGTAATAATAATAATAAATCTCGAGGGAGAGAATCAGAATTATGTTAAATTTTAGGATCCCTATGTCTGCCAAAGCTCACAGGCCTATTTACTGTAATATAATATACATTCAGGGTTTTCCCCTCAGTTATAAACATGGCTTTGACCTAGCCTAAATCTCATTCATGGTATCGTAACCTCCGGGTCGGGTCTTGGGACATAACCGGCTAACCTGACAGCAACACTTTGCCGTTAACGGACAGATTTTGTAATTTATGACATATGCCTTGTTACTCTAGTTTTAACTTCGTCATAATCTTTCTCTCAGTCTTGTTTTGCTCTGCTGCTTCTTCTTGCTACCCTTCTGCTGCCAACTGCTGTCACCTCTTGACAAACTTTACTGGAAGTCCTAGTGATCACCTTTCGAAGGGTGACTGCTTAACCGGAAATTTACCCCAGCATCACCCAATCCCTAAGCTGACACCTCACTGACTCTATGGAGACTCCAGACAGCTTATGACCCCAATCACATACTGTTGGAATTTCCAGACCCTGTATACACATATGAAGCAACATACTTGGCTTGGGTGCAGCCAGATGCGCACTGGATGGGCACCCATTTATTAAACTGAGCAAAAGTCACCGGGATAAAGCAGGTACATCATGGCTTGTTTTTTTAGGAGGATTCAATCCATTGTTTGTCTTTTTAAGTTATTATTTGGAACCTTGTTATACTGTTAGATAGAAAAAGGAAACATTCTGCAAAAAGAATATACCGCCACTCTCTGGCGCGCCCCCACCTTGTACCTCCTTGTAAATTTGCTCACTCACTTTCTAAAGACACAGATTTTGACTATAATTGATATTCGGAAATTATATACATAAACTCAATCCATGTTGAGTTTTGAAAAAAAGAACTACTTGCTAACTTACTTACGCTTATTGCATGGATGCATTGCTCTAACAAAAGTAATCCCTGTCCTCTTCACTACACTACTTGAACTGCTTCATCCATTCAGAGAACAATACAGAAACTTTTCATGGATGCCATTCGCTGCCTTGGTTGGTTGTGCATTTGTATTAGTCCTGCTTGTTACTGGCCTTATTGCAAGCTTGATATTATGCAGAACAAACACCAGAAGCCACCAGTGTAAATTGTTTATCAAATTTGATATATTGTTGCGTGTTTTTAGTACGGCAATCAGAATGGGAAGCAAGGGACCCTTTAAATTGGAGTTGGTGTGCACACAAACATTCCTGATTCAGACCCTAACCCTACTTGATTAGATATACCTTTTCTCATCTCAGCAGTTCGAAAAGGTATATTATGATCCTGTTATTTGACAGATTGTTGTTTGGCCCCTGATGTGTTGATGATCAAGATCACGGCCCTATTTAAAAATTAAGGGGATTTATTGTCATACTAAACGTTCAGGGGTCTGTTGGTATTTTCTTGGAAGCACAAGTTCTCCATTCTTTAATAAATTAGGGATTATTTACTAATTATTGTAAAGATCAAGGGTTTGTTTCTATTACCGTTGATTGGCTGCTTGACATTTTCTTGGGATCGAATAACCATCTCTAATTGTTTTCAAAGATATCATTATGTACTTATTCTTGCGGAAGAACTACCCTCCTATTGTTCTGTTATTTACCGAAATAGTTGTTTTGCTCGGTGCAGCCCTGCAGGAACACATATCTTCCTTTTTATGGTAGAAGACATGAGTCAGGAGAAGACACCTAGACTTGGGAGTGTAATGTTAAGGAGTTTCTTGGTAATGCCCACGGCATAAATTGACTCTGTGTAGATGGTCTCATGCCAAAGAGTCTCCGCACTGTTTCCACCAGGATTCATTGATGGACTCAGTTTGTTTATTTGGTTTGGCTTATTGGGCTTCCTCCCCTTGTTTGTTGGTTAACCATAAGTTGGTTGATTGTTTGCTTTGCTGGATGGTCTCTCATATATTAACTTCCTTTTCTGTGGGGTTTTCTTCCAATGTTGGGAGCTGTTTGGTTTGCCAATCACTGTCTATGCTGTTACAGCGGTAAAAATTTGAAATAGCGGTCAGGACCGTGATTTGATATAGAGGCTATCGCGATGGTATACCAGTGGTATAACGGTCGACATATAGCGGTTCATGTAATCATTACAATTATATATAAATGTACGAATAGATGCATAACATAATATATATTTTGAAGATGAACATAAGAGTAGGTGAATGGAAGAGATAAGCAATCAATGTTGGAAGACAATGTCGTTGTGAAGAGAAGATGCAAAATATAGACTGGAATAGAAGAGATGAGAGAGGAATAGCGAGTTACACACCAATAAACCCTTTAAAAGGACAACTTAAAGCCCAACTCGTAATTGCGGTTTTCACACTGCTATTGCAAGTCAAAAATTGCAGTCCAATTGCAGTGATTAGCATCGCTATTAGCAAAACTGCTATTTCCCCTAGGACCGCTAACTGCTATAGCGCTATTTCACTGCTATAGCACCGGAATTAACAGCATAGACCACTGTTTCTCTTTGTTTTGTTCTTTTAAGACTTGCTTCTGCTATTAAACTCATTTGCACACGTCGGAACTCAATTTGGACTTGGATTTGGATTTGATTGATGAACTTGGTTTCTATTTGTTCCAGTTTGTTTGTTAAATTTCTCAGGGTGTGTGTATATATATATTTTAAATCCTATGTCTTACTGGTCAAGTTCGGAGTCCCTGATACCTATTCTCCAGAAAGATTAAGATTAGAACCAAGTTATAATATGAGAATTAGGATTCTTACGTTAAGCTATATAAAAGCCCGAATGCCCTTGTATTATGTTCTCAAGATTGTTGCCTGAGTAACAAACACGTCTTTGACAAGGCCAAAATCTCTTCCAATGAAGAAATATGAACTCTAACCATCAAGTTGGTAAGTAGAGAAATCACATGCTCAACAAGGATAAAGTATTTAAGCTCTACCAGTTTACTGCCAAAGTAAGAACATTTCCAGGTCTTTCCTTAGAATAGAACAGACATTGCTCTTATACAAAGTTTACTCCTGACAATACCAGATAAACCTCAATATGTTTGATCTTAAATGCTTGATAGGATTGCATGCAATGCTATGAGAGCAACGCGTTCAGGGTTTCGGACTAAAATTGAAAGGTCATCATCAAATACATAGTTCAAAGCAATTCATACATCACTGAGTTAATTTATTGTAACTTAATTTTAGGACTTGACCTAGCATTGTCTTTATTTTGCTGCGGCATGTAGCAAATCAACCCCAATCCACCCACCCCTCCAAACAAAAGAACACTAGTTGGAGATGGATTGCCAATCATCTATATACTGGTTCAATCAGAATCACTAAAGATTAAACCTGCAAGCGTACATCTTCATGGAAACTACCTTAACCTGCTGCCTCCTTCCAAATGTCAAAACTTAGCTTGCTACCTCAAAACTTAACATATTATGTCAAGATGTTTTGGAGAACTATCATAAATAAATTATTATGATGGAAGCCGTGAGATGCTTTGCTTCAGAAGGATAATGGAGCAATCATTTGTAAGAGATACCCATTATTAGTGACAGACCATTATTAGTTCAGAGGATTAAGAGTTTCTGAACTAAAAGTGACAGACAATTATTAGTTCAAAGCCGTTTTACTAAGTTCATTAATAGAACAGACAAGAGAAGTTGCATTAACAAAACTAGCAGAAATGCATACAAAACAAATTTAATTTACCTGAATTAGATCCAGAGAATCAAGTCAAATTTTACCATATGTGATCGAAACAAATGAATATGCCAGCGGGATCAGCTAACTTTAGGCATAGCAATATAATCATAAAGGACAACAATACCAAAAATGCTCCTCGTGCTCTTGTCTAGTAGATCAAGGCCAACAGGAATACTCAAATCCCAAATGGGAGAAGAACAAAGTTGAACACCGGGTAGTTTAGTTCTATCTAAATGCATAACAAGGGATCCCTAAATTCACCACTGGAAGCGTATCTCAAGTTCTATCATGCCATATCATTGAATTTCTAAAAAAAATATAGCAGCATAGTAAACCGGGATCAAGAGGAGAAGGTAAAAGAGGGGCAATTCACCGTCAAGCGGATGTTCCTAAACCGGTGGATGGAATTGGTGTTAGAAAAGGAACGGTGGCGTTTGGAAGAAATCTCACGCCTCTGAATCTTGTTGACGCTGTTGTTGACAGATAGCAAGTTGGTCCGGTCGCGCTTCTTCGTAGCAACTACTCTCCTCCGACCGCCGCACTGTGGTAGCGGCCTACTGTTACCACTACCACTGCTGCTGGCCATCGTAATTCTCCTGCTGCTGGCACCACCACTACCAAACCCTTCCATTCCGGTTCATCTAGAATGCAATTGGGAACTCGATTTCCAAACGAAATTCAACCAATTAGAAGCCTCAACAGCTGATTACTAGTAGCTAAATGATGATGATCTTCCAATTTCTAGTGAATTTGAAAAAAGAATCAGGTGAACTCAAATGGAAGTATAGAAACGACGAAAGGGGATTGAGTCCAGACAGAAGTTGCGTATAGTCTCCAGTTCTCAAATATATAAGGGAAATTTTTAAAAGAACCGAATGCATTGTCCTGCTAATTTTTTTTTTTTAAATGAAAAACTCATTAAATTTTTTTATTTTAAATAATTAATTTCCTTTAACTGTTTTTTTAATTAAAGAATCATTAAACTTTTTTATTTAAATAAAAAAACCATTAAACTTTCTTATTTTAAATGATTAAGAGCCGTTTACCAAAAACTTATTTGATAAGTGCTTACCGATAAAATTTAATAATATTACTTACTTATCCGGTAAGATTTTAATCCACCAAAACGGCACCGTGTACAATATTTTATCCGATAAACTCTCCTTTCATTTACTGGGTAAGACTCTTGTTTCTTGTCTCGCTCTTAGCGAGTAAGATTTTTAGTGCTCGCCATATTATCTGGTAAAATAATGTGACTTGGTAAGAGCTTATCCGGGTAAGCATTTGATAAACGGCCTCTAAGTCCCTGAACATTTTTTTTTCAATAAATTAAACATCGAACTTTTAAAAAATTGGTTACTTATATTATTTTAACAAAAAAAACTACCTATAACCGGTTATCTTTTGATTCTCCTTATTTTGATGGATAAAAAATACATCAAAAAGAGGGAGATTAATGACTGGGTCAACAACGTTGGGACAACAAAGAGTGGTGAGTGGGAACGATACCATTATTTGCGAGGGGTTTTAATAGCATAGGGTTTGAAGGTAAAACTGATTTAGGTTTGTTTTGCACTTTAACCTTCCTAGTCAGTTAAAAGTGGTTTAAAAAAAAAAGATGTAGGTAACAAAATTTTAGAAGTTCGATGATTTATTTAATCAAAACAAATGTTTAGGGACTTAATTATTCAAAATGAGAAAGTTTAATAATTTTTCTTAAAAAAAATAGTTTGTGGACTTAATTATTTAAAATAAGAAAGTTTAATGCTTTTTTAATTTAAAAAAATAGTTAAAAGATTTGATCATTAAAATATTTCGTTGGGTTTTTGTGAAGTTTTTTTTCCATGTATAAATAAAGAAGCATGCACATCATCATACTTGTTATTTTTCTTCATTGTACTTTTTAGTAACGGTAAATTACATTTTTCGATCTTGTGGTTTGTTACAAATTACAAATTTCATCCATATCAATTATGGTTTTTATCTTTATAGTTTACAATTCATTTCTATACTCATTTCTGATACTAACTATTTCTTTTAAATGTGAGGTACTAAAATAAAAATAAGTTGTAAGCCATAGGAACGAAAAAAGCAATATAATTTAAATCATAAGAACAAAAACAATATTCAATTATATACCATGAAGATGAAAGCAAAAATAGAAATCAACAAACCATACGAACGAAAAAATTAATTTACTCTCTTAATAATAATAATCTATACTACCTTATAAACCAGATTTGATAAAAGTCTTAAATTCTTAAATACAACCTATATTGCATAGAGTATAACTCTTTTATGCACAAAGTCTTAAATCTCTTAGATTGCAACTTTTAAGAACCTAATGTACAACCTCATTATGCATAAACCCTTCATGCTCGGTTTGACAACCGACCCTCACATGCTCGATTGCAGGTTTCTAAGACGACGATTGAAGCCTCCAACACGCTCGATTGCTAGGTCTTAGTTCTGGCTCCTCTCGATTCATACCTCCAATTTCATACTCTCTCGATTCATGTACAATGTTTTGTGGTTTCATGTTGATGAGAGTTGATTTAAGGTTTATTTTCCTTTTATTTGGTTTCCTTTTGATGATTTCTCACAGGTTATATTGATTGGGTAATATTGGGTTGGGAAAAGTCCAATAAAACCCTATGAACTTTAGTGTTTTGATTGATTAAGTCATTGAATTATTTTTTGGAACAAATAAATCATTGGACTTTTGAAAACTTGTTAAATAAATCCTTAAACTTTCTTAAACCTGTTAAATAGGTCCTCATTYTYYAAAAATATAACTTGTAACCTGGGTAACAGGTAAACCAAACAAATTAAAAAAAGGGAAAAGTCTAAAAAAACTCAATGAACTTTAGTGTTTGGAATGATTAAGTCTTTGAACAATTTTTTGGAACAAATAAATCCTTGGACATTTTAAAACMTGTTAAATAACTCCTTGAACTTTCTAAAACTTGTTAGATACATCCTTATAACCTATAAAATTGGTTAATGTGATAAAATAATGAAAAAATTCTGACAAAAAACTAATGAACTTTTATATTTTGAATGATTTAGTCCCTAAACATTTTTTTAACCAAAAAAATACTTCAATTTATAAAATGAAACAAATACCATTCTCATTAGCCTTCTCAAAAGATACAAAAGCTGTACCCAAA